ATATAAAATGACCTCTTGCCATGGATATAAAATGACCTCTTCACGGCCAAAGGAAGGGTGCTAAAATTTTCTCAAGGAGATCATAGCCTCTTTGAGACCTAGCCTCTTTGAGACCTCATCAGTGCAACCCAACCACCTCCTTGCCTTCATTTCCTTTGTCGGAGCTCAATTTTTGAGCTCAAACCCTTACCGGAGACAGGACATTCTCCACCACGACTCCACAGTGCACCAAATTTCAATTAAACTCACCCATTCAATTAAACTCACCCACACCTTAAACTCACCCACACCTTCACCACAGTGAAAGGAGAAGAAGCCCGCTCACAGAGAGCCTCCGCACTAGACTTTAATCAACACTCAAATTCGGCCTTGATCGAATTTGGGTCTAGACCTTTCACCACTACCAGAGACCCAATCACTAGCCTTCTTGGACCTCCACGAACATGCCAAGCTCCTTTGATTGAAGCTTCCTTTCTCAGAGCAAATGTATTGAACTTCCTCTCTTCCCGACACTATTTTGATTCTCCATGTGATTAGAGTTAATGGCATGTTTACTATATGGATATGTTTGTCTCACTTAGACGAGTCAATAGAATCAAATCCGAGATCATTTGGTTGAGAAATGAAGGAGATCTTAAGGTTTTAGGGTTAACGGTCACGAGTTTTGGTTATCGGGGATGATGACAGAGAGCCGTTGGATGGCACGTGTATCAAACAGATGGGTGAGATGAAGCCGGACAGCGCTTCGATACATAAAGCACGGGCTGAATCAACAGCTACGTGGATGGCAGCATCCAGCCAGAGCGTGCCACGCAGAGCTTCGGTGATGTCATAGGTTGATGTGGGGCGCGTGTTTGAATAGAAAAATAGGGATCTTCTATTTATTTAAATGCCCATAACTTTGAAAAATCATATCTTTGCACAGAAAAATCACAAAAATATAAGAAAAATTCCCTAGCAAAAAAAATATAAGAAAAATACCCTAGTGCTTAGTGAACAGAGGAGAACAATGTAGAAATTGTTTGATGTTTATTTCATGCATATTTTATCTTTAATTAATTAAATACTGTTCTAACTATTTTGAATCTCCATGCATTCAAGTATTTCACCATGACTTGATATTTTGCCATGTTGTTGCCTCTGTCATGAGGGATTTTCCCTGATTTTCCCAAAGTCAGAGGAGACCCCTAGACAGAGATCCATATTTTCCAAGTTTATGTCCATCATTTACATAAATTAATAATGGTAATTAGCATGTTGCTTAGAAAAAAATCCAACAAAATTTTGGTAGGTTCATTGTGACCAGAGAACCCTAGGAAAAATTTTTCATGAGCAAAGTCATTAAGAACACACCTAATTTTCATAAAACCCTAAATACAAAGAAAATTAATTTAGGAAAATAAATATCTAAATGACTTGATTTTGATTCTCCACTGTAAATTAAAGTTTAGAGAACTCCCCAAAAAAATTTTAAAACATTTGGAGTTCATTTGACAACCTAATCTGATTTTCTAAGTTAAATAGCATTTTTGATACTAAAATGATTTTTAACAATCAAAATACAACTTAAAAAATTATAAAATTAGTTTTGGGAGTTCTCTGTGATTAGAAGGATTTTCTAAAAATAAAATTTTAATTAAAATAAAATTTTCATTTTTTAAAGCATATTTTGAATATTTACATAATAAAAAAATAATAGAAGTCATAAAATTAATAAAATTCATGGAAATGTTCTAAATTGTTTCCTAAGAACTTAGGAGCTATTGGAATATTTTTTCTAACTTTCTAAGTAAAAACTTTGAGTTTTAAAACCTTAAAAAAATAATTTTCAAAGGCTAAAAAAGGATTTTTTTAATTTTTCATCTAAATAATTCTAATAATTCAAAGAAAAATCATAAAAATGTGAAATTTACTCTTCTGGGTTCTTTGACCTCAGAGAGATTTAATAAAAATGATAAAAACTTAATTTTCCATATTTGAAATATTTCTATAATTAATTAATACTCTAGAATTTAAAATAATTCTAATAATTCAAATAAAACTAAAAAAATCATGAAATTTGGTCCAAGTGGTTCTCCGGTCTAGGTCTACCTCTAGTAAAAATTTCATGTGATTAGGCTTTGTCTTGGTCAAGTTATTGAATTTTCTTTGAAAAATTATATTTTTGCATGTAAATAATCATGTAAATTAAATTAAATTTTGAAAAATCACATTTTTACCTCTGATGTCTTAATTGACTCATGAGTGAGGTAGGATAAAAATCCTAAAGTCATTTGAATTAAATTTGATGAATAATAAAGTGATAGAGCCTTAGGGGTAAAAGTGTAATTTTGACAATCTAGCCCTAATTAACATTTAGGCTTAATTCAAGAGGGTAAGATGGGCAAAATTTGATCTCAATTAACATGTTCAGATGATTTAAACATAAGGGATTAATTGGTAGAAGCCAATTTCACTTTTCTTAATTAAAGGATAAATTTGTAATTTTCTAAATCATTAAAATTTGGAAATTTATTAAATTAAATGATCATAGACTTGGAGGTATGATTTTGAATGTTAATAACTCACTAATTTAATAGCTCTATTTGGTGTTCAAAAGACATTCAAACCTTTTGATGATGAATCACTATCACTTAAAATTAAATTTCTTTCGAAAATTACTAATATGTCCACCAAGGTCCTAAGGGCTT